CCCAACCCTGCTTATGGAGTATGGAAGCTAATTTTGTATGTAATTAATGTTCCTATAATCTATATAAATAATTAATATTAAAATACATTGAATATTATGTAAATTATTGATAAAACTATTAACAAAACATTAAAACTAAAATATACAAATCAAAATATATTAACCTTAAAATGTTTTTATATAATATGTTAAAATACTGAATATTATAAGAACATTTATTTTTTAAATAATATTTCTTTGGTACGGTCCACGCCGGGCGAGACACAGTGCCGGATTTAGAGGGGGTGCAGGGGGTGCATTGCACCGGGGCCTCAAGACCAAGGTTGTATTAGGGGCCTAAGGTTAAAGTCCTAAATTTTCTAACCTTCTAAAACTTTTTATTATAAAAGGAACAAATTTTATTATTTTAAGATGTTACTGACAAGTGACAACCATTTATTTTGGACGGTTTGAATTTTAGATAAGTAATACTATTTATCATTGCGTTATTGTTTGTTTTACATATTTATTTGTATACTCATTAATTATATTATATAGTACTTATGCATCGTATACTATATTCGTATACCTAATCGTACTATATATTTAATCTCAGAGGCTCGTGAACTCGCGCTAGTGCAGTATCTTGCTGGACAAACTAATAATGTAACCATGGTTATATGTATTTATTGTTTAATATAAATGGTTTATGATTTACGGACATGCCTTCGCCTTGATGCAGTGTTATTGGTTTCAGATATGTTATTTTGTACTTTTGTCAGTTTTATTTTTGAGTACCTACTCTATTATATTGATTTTTCATTTGATTATTAAAAATAAAAATTAGGTACCTACCTACACTATCTTTTATTGACTTTTGAAAAAAAAACACGTCTAACAGACAATTTGAAAGTGTTGCATCTAAAAGACGGAGAAAAATGTTCAAAACAATGAATTAAAAAAATATAAAGGATTGATGAATAATTTTGTATACAATTCAGGTAACTGAGGTACCTGATTCATATTTGGGTCCTTTCATTTTAGGACAATATAGAGAATATACAGCCAATATCATATTAATGATATTTATTCTTAATTTATATTATACTAGCATAGAAGCATACATTAATGATTAATACATCATAATATCTAAGCGTGGTATAATAGATATGAGAACAGTGAGTGAATGTATAATTTCATAATTTTAATTACCTATTAAATTATGGAATTTAAATTTTGTGTTTTTTAGTTTGTTTAATATATCAATACGACAAAACGTATCAAATAAATAGATAATTGTAAAGTCGAGAAATTTTTTTTTTAAGGGGCCTCCATTGGTAGTTGCACCCCGGCCCCCTGAGACTTAGATCCGGCACTGGCGAGACATCTAGTATATATGTACAGGTATACTAATAATATTAATATATTATATATTATATAAACAAAAGTTTCTCTCTAGAGCACCCAATGAAATTATTGATATGACTATATGAGTTATAGTCACACTAACAGATTAATGAAAAAATGTAAATATGTCAGCATTAAAATTGCAGAATTCAAACCAGTAGTCACTAATTCGAGGGAGTTCTACCCACCCCAAAAGTTGCCTTAAATTATACAATATGAATATATGATAAATATATAATAAATGTCACATTGTTACTTGAAATTAAATGCTGTGCTAAAACAAAATGTACCCTTGAAAACTGTTTGCGAACCTATACCATTTAATACATAATCGTCTTAGTATAGCAATGGCCAATGTGATCGTCTTTCATTTTTTTTAAAATAATTTTATAAAACAAAACAGAACTAAAACAAAATTCATAAAAATATACAATAATGTTTAAAATTGACAAAATTAGAAATTTTACAAGCATCACTTAGTTGCCACTATTACAGTATTACTTCTATAGTTTATATTTTATAAATATTTTTAACTTATAAATGCTATTTTATAGTTGAATAAATTAAAATATATTTATTAGTATTTTTACAAGTTTTTAAAATTACCGCCAAAATGACGAAGGAGATTATAGTTAGTATGGGATCTAAATGTCTATGCGGTTCTATATGGTCCACGGTATCACTTTCTGTAAAACTACGTTCTGTGATAGTAGTTTCAGGTTTTCAACTTTCTGGGACTAAAATTCTGTGTACATATTTTATGTTCATTTTTTTTTCAATACGAAAACAATTCTGGAACATTAATTTCCAGTTATTTTATTTTCTGTAATTTTACTTTCTATTTTTTTATTTTCCGTCATTTTATTTTTCTGTAAAATATACTTTATGGTTTTCTAAGGTTCGGCTCATTTATTTTCTGGAGGATGACGGGGCCCCATATAATATAATACCTACTCTATTATAATATGTCTATGATACGAACTCAGATAATGTTCTTACCATCAAGTTTCATTATAGGTCGAATCACTAATGTTTAAACTAAAGGAGTTAAACGTGGTCTGCTACGCATAAATTTGATTTTATGTTACTCACTTGTAAGATGGAGACACAACTTGCGGGTGTGGTGTCAATATTGTTACGCTGATTGAGGAATTTAAAATTAAGGGAAATATAGGAGAATTCATTTATTATTCTTCTTTGATTATAATCATAAAATAATTCCACATTTAGATACACATTACTAAATGTATATATATGTAGATTTTCGTTTGTTAAACAAAGCTTCTTTTTTTTTTTTAAATTTTGGGTAATGTGTTTTCTTCTTTTTATACATAATTGTATTTATATCATTTGATTTTGAAGAATTTAAAATTGTACCTATTTTAGATTCTGAGTGGAACGATGAATGTATTGATTTTACAATGATCTGTTTTTTTTTAAATTTTTAAATTTTTTTTTTGTATCGGTGTACACTATAAGTAGTCGAAATAATGCTTCGATTTTCAATTTCAGTATCTTGTTCGATTGGAAAGTGAATATTGTTGGTGCATTGGGGAGGTTAAAAACGCCAAAAAAAAAAAAGAAAAATTAAGGAAAAACGGGAATATTTAACTGTAACTGTAGGTAACTGTAAAACAAGATAGATACATGCAATTTTCACTGGTTGCTTATATTTACATTTTCTATACATGATAACATTTTCAAAATATTTTCATTTATTTTGAATTGGGATATTTTCAGTTTCAAATTTGAAACTGAATTTTAGCTATGAATGTATTTATGTATTGATTTTACAATGTTTTTTTATTTTTTAATTTTTAATTTTTTTTTGTGTGCGTCATCAGTTATCACATTTTAGGATAGTAAAAATGCTTAATTTTCTTCAACAGTATCTTTTCTGATAGGAAGATGAATTTAGTTAGTATTTAGTAGAGTCAAAAATAAAAAGTTCCTAACAGAATTCAAAAGCGCAGGGAAAAAAAGGAAAATTAAGGAAAAAAAAGAATTTTTACACAAAATCGGTTTTCAACAAGATATTTCGGTTTTTGATATAACTCTAAAAAAAATTACCGTAGGGCATAGATAGATATTACTATATTAGATACATGCAATTTTCACTGGTTGTTTATAAATTATATTGTCATTTTTATACACCATAACATTTTCAAAAAATATTGATTTGTTTTGAACTGTTTACGGACATTTTCAGTTTTCAATTTTTCAATGTTAATAAAATTGTATTATTTGGGTCAAAAAGCTTGAACATTTAATACAAGGATCTTAATAAATTGTTACAACTTACTATGACATTTGCAAAATATTAAACATTCATAGTTGCATTTATTATTTTTTTTTATTAGCATTTATAAAGTTTGAATTTTGACAAAAGGCGTAAAAATCACGAAAATGTGCAAATTATTTTGAGTTGGAAATCTACTGATTACAAAAATATCATCATTCGTTTACATATTTAATTTATTTAGTGAGTTACATTTTATGTTTTAGGGAAATTTAGAATATTATGCTAGTCTTCGTGGTTATTACCATTTAGGTATTCTGTGGTATTGTATTGTATATTTGCAAGGCTGGACAAGTTAACGTTTTTTTTTAACTCGTTAAGTTAAGTTATTTTAAAATAATTAAGTTAAGTTAAGTCAAAAGTTACTCTTATTTTTTTTCGCTAACTCATTAAGTTAAAAGTTAACTTTGAAAAAAAAGTAACGAGTTGATTAACTTAATTAAAATTAACTTAACGTTTTAACTTAATTTTAATTTTTAACTCGTTTTAGGACGTCTCACCCGGATGTGTTGTCTCCGTCTTACACACGTACGACGTAGCAAATTTTCGTTTGCTAGTTTCAATAGGGTATTGTTTCAATAGGGTGTGCTGAAACAATTTCAGAGAATAAATTAAAAAAAAAAAAAAAAGGGTATTGTCAGTTTTGATATTAGAGTGAATCAACCTATTATCAAACTTTTAGGTAACAACATTATTTGTGTTCTCTCGTTGGTATTTTACGATATTTTAATTTTTAAGTGAGTTATGAACATTTTAGAATATGAATACTTTACATACCCATAACTCACTTAAAAATTAAAATATCGTAAAAAACCAACGAGAGAACACAGATACTGTTCTTACCTAAAAGTTTGATAATAGGTCAGTTCACTCTAATATAAAAACTGACAATATCCTATTGAAACTAGCCAACGAACATTTGCTATGTCGTATGTGTGTACGACGGAGACAACACATGCGGGTGAGACGTCCTCTTAATGCCCAGCCTTGTATATTTGTATTACCAACTATTGCACTTTCGAACAAGTGTCCGTGGTTGCCGCCACCAGGTGGCGTGGTATCATGTTCCAACTTCCAAGCAAAATGTTCCTGGAAGAAAGAAACTATGGTTATTGACTGCAGATGTTCTTTGGCGTGAGCGTTCGTATTTCGGCGATGGTATCTCCTTGGCGCAATTGATCAATCACCATTCTTTTTGGTTATGTGGAGTTTGTCAAACGTGTGTGTAGGATTTCTTTTTCGGGATTTTACATTCCTCTCCGTCGTGGAATAATTTTTTAATCGTTCAAAAAGTGTAAAACAACCAAACGTCAACATGGGTCGGATGCACACACCCGGGTAATTATTATTTCAATTCCATTTTTGTTAAAACTTCGAAACTATAAAACATTGGACTTCGTCGACACCGATACGGCCGCGATTCACGATACTGATGTATAGAGACGCACTGCGTTTTTTTTATAATCTATCTGATCGATTGTTTGAGTCGTCGGTGGTCGATGGTTTCTGTCGCTGCTTTTAAATTTTTTTACACATCGTGTTTACTGACTGTATCTTTTTATGATGTGTTTGCAGTAAAGGTATTTCTAAGTCGGCTCTGCCGTACCGTCGCAGCGTAGCCACCTGGCTGAAAGCGTCGTCCGAGGATGTCAAGGATCACATTTTCAAGTTAGCCAAGAAGGGTTTGACACCGTCTAAAATCGGTAATTGCTCAGTCCGCTTGACCTGTGATATTCCCAAAGATTCATACTAGTATTAATTGTTGTAATGATGTTTCGTTTGAAACTACCATCAAAACCTCAATTTCGTTCTTTATTTCTAGCATGGTTCCAGTACTGTTTTTTTGGTGGGCAGTTTTGTCCAAGAAAAAGATTTTGAAGTTAATTGTAGGTTTTGATTAACTTCACAATGTACTTCAGATTTATTTACTTCAAGGTGTTATATGACACTTAAGACTTTAAATTATTAGATGGAGTACTTTAAAACCATGTCCACTGCATAAAACTTTACAATTATTGAATTGTAGATGGTCTATCTATTTATGTAACAACTCAATGATGATAATTTTACTATTTACTATTGCTAGAAAACATACTTAAACTGGTTTTCAGTTTTTTTTTGTTCATTTTGAAGAATTGTTGAGGCATTTGTCTGAGAGATAAAATTTATTACACAACTTTGTTATATTCAAGACTATCTAGTGTTATCAGATCCTTAAAATAAAAATGATTAAAGTTGACTTTTAAAGTACTATTATATTTATTTTGTACAGATTGCATTCAATTCATTAACAAAATATTGTGCATTTAACCTTTTTTCTAGTAGTTGATGGTGGCTCCGTGATGATTCATATACAATTGTCTGAACACTTTTTTAAATTGGTTTTCAGTTTCTTAAGGTTTATTATGCGGACTTTTCGAGGCATTTGTCTGAGAGCTACTTTTCAGTCTTGATTGAAATTTTTATAAATATTTATTGAATATAATTAAACTTTTGAAGAGAATCTATTTTGTATTTTATTTAATTTTGGAGATTTGAAGTAATTTTAATTATAATTACACACATTTTTCAACTTAATTTAATATTTGTTTGATTAGCACTTTTATAATAGGTAATCCAAGTATTGTAAAGTATTATATTGATCTTATATATATTTTGCTTATATAACAGATTGTTATTAAAATTAAATGGCCACCTAATAGAATTTTCAGTATTATCATTAAACTAAGTGTTTTGAAGAAGATAACTGCTCTATGATGATTATTATACATACTATTTTCTGAACAACTAATTTAACTGGTTTTCAGTTTTATTAGGTTTACAATGCGGATTTATCGAGGCATTTGTCTGAGAGCTTTTTGATATTTTGTACTCTTTTATAATATTTATGTAGATACTAATAAAATATAATTTTAATGTTTAACAGGAAATTTAAACTAAATACCTAGATGAATATCAATTAATATAAAATATATTTGGAAGTATCTCATATTCAAATATGATATAGGTACTTAATTGTTATTTAAAAATTTGATATGGATCGTTCACAAACAAAATTTAGAAACATATCCTTTAAGTACATAAAATTAAAGAAATAAAATGCTCTATGATGATTTTTATACATATATTTTCTGAACACCTATTTAATTGGTTTTCAGTTAAATAGGTTTTTTTGTGCAGACTTATCGAGGCATTTGTCTGAGAGCCATTAATTACAATAACATATTTATTGAATAATAAATAAAAAATTAATAATAACAATTTTTTTTTTGACAGGTGTAATTTTGCGAGATTCACATGGTGTCGCCCAAGTAAGATTTGTGACAGGCAACAAAATTCTTAGGATCATGAAAGCTATGGGTTTGGCTCCAGGTCTCCCTGAAGATTTGTACCATTTGATCAAGAAAGCCGTAGCAATCAGAAAACATTTGGAAAGGAATAGGTAATGATTTCAGTACCATGCGTGCATGTTATGTTAAGAATAGACTTAAACATATTTTTTCTTATTGTTTTGTTTAGAAAAGACAGAGATTCCAAATTCCGTTTGATTTTGGTTGAATCACGTATCCATCGTTTGGCAAGGTACTACAAACGCAAGTCAAAGATCGCCCCCAACTGGAGATACGAGTCCAGTACTGCTTCTGCTATGGTTGCTTAAGTAAACTGGTATTTGTACGAACATTTGAAAAAATACAATTTACAATTTAAGTTCACCAATGTTTTTCTTTTTATTTATTAGTATTCATTGTGTTTTTTTCAAATCCTTGAAATATTTTTCTCTTATTATCAACTTGGAACCAAACTGTTCTCATAGATTTAACTAGTCAATTTAGTTTGAATTTTACTCTTTGTACTTTTTAACAAATTTTGTACAGGGAATTCTTATTGAACTGCAAAGACCTATAATATATGTAATTCAAAATTATAAAATAGTCGCGGATCCAGGAGGGTGAAAAATGGGTATTTGTAGTTTCTCTATGTTTTCCACTGTAGTGAAGAATTTGATATCTAGTATTGATGTAGTAAATGTTTTTCTACTTTTGCCTCTAAATTAAGCACTGAATAATATGTCCAGCTCAATCTGTGCCTAAGTGTAGTTATCATCTATGATTATTTGAAGATTTTTAATCTGCTACAAAGTGAAATTCTATATTGGATAAGTGAACTTGCAGCTCCCTCAGTACTTTAATTGCATCTGTCACGGTAACTAAACAATGAGTATTGTTTGATGAATCTATACCAATTCTATATTTCTATTATCAATTAACTCTTACAAGTGTTTAACATCAACAAATTTACGCTCAGCAGATCACCTTTAGCTCTGTTAGTTTAAAAATTAGAGTGAATCGACCTATTATGAAACTTGATTGTAAGAATATTACTTGTGTTTGTATTTTCGGGTTTTTTTTATAATTGTTACATTTTTTTTTTAAATCATGCAATTATAAAATAGCGCAAATTAAAAATAATCATCACTAATGTTTGTTAACTGAATTATTGTAAAAAACACATACAAACACAGATAATGTTCTTACCATAGACAGGACGATAGAACAGGACGTTTTTAGGCTGTTAGTCTTGATAAAAAATAATCAATAATATATAATTGTAAAATATTTAACACTTATATCTACGGTATAAAATCTGCTAATTTAGGTGTAAGTACTAAGAAATAAGCCAAGATTAAGATAATTTTTGAAATTTCAAGTATCTACGATTATTTGTCTGAGTTACACCCAAAAGTACAAAATTGATTGTCGAAAACTGAATTGAATTCATTGATTCTCTTTTCAGCACAGGGAAAATGGTGTCTTAGTATGGTTTTTGGTTTATAATTTTTAATGAATTAAATAAAAATATTTAATAGTAATAATTATTGATAAATGCATGCCATCTGGTGATGTATGTACAACCACCTATAGTGGTCAGCAACGCGAACCACAATTGAGAAAAAAATTTAAAATATTTTATTTTAGCTCCACTAATCATAGTGCAATGAGCAGAACAATTGAGTGGTCAGCTGTACCAACCGCCATGCCGAAAAAAGAATGCCTTGAAAATAATAGAAATAACAATTAATAATTAATAATAATTAAGCTATCACATAGTTTATACTAGTGGCTTTGAAAAAAAAAAATTATTATTAACAATTTTTATGTTAGTTTGTAAAATGTACTTTTAGTTTGACAACTAGTAATGTATAATCTATTAATCTATATCTTCTTCTCAACAGTTTAGGAGTCCATGTAGGTTCATCGCTGCCACCATTATCCCATTCCAACTGATCCTATAATTTGCATCTTCCATATTTACTTTTTCATGAATCATTTTAAGATCTTTTCCTACTACATCCTTCCAGCTTGTTCGGGGTCTTCCTACGGGTCTTTTTTACAATTCTTTCTTCTGTAACTTGTTTTATAATTTTTCCTTCTGCCCTCCAAACATGTCCAGCCCATTCTATCCTCTAGCTTCTGCTAAACGATAGTACCTATATTTGGTCTTCCATATAAACTTTGTAAGTCATTATTATGTCTTCTTTCGTATGACTTATTATAGACTGGGCCGCATATTTTTCTGAGCACTTTTCTTTCTGTTGTACATAACTTAGCGTAAACGCCTACGTAGCCCACGTCTCACATCCATATATCAACACTGGTCTCAAGTAACTTGTGTATAGAGTTGCCTTCGATTCTCTCTATAATAGGAAATAGCTTCGATCTGAATAGTTTTAGTAGACTATAATAACATCGGTTCGCGCTAGCTACCCGTTCTTTTATTTCTTCATGTACGTTATTTATGCTGTTTATGTTTATCCCTAAATATTTAAACTCCTCTACTTTTTCAAAAACATAAGGATCTACTCGTAGACTTAAATCATTTCTGTCATTTCGTGAAATACATCTGTATTTTGTTTTCTCCTGGTTAACTTCTAAGCCAGATAATCTATATACTTATATAAAAATGAATATTTGTCTGTGTATTTAGCGGTAAATTATTTTTTACCCAAAAAAATGTTGTGTGGCCCCTCTAATCAAAAATGCCTATTCCAAAATCCGAATTGCAAAGAGTTAGGTATCTTTTTTTTATCAACTGTTAATAAATACCAATAAAATAATTAAAATAACTATAAAAAAAAAACTGTGTTTATGTATATTTTTAGATTTTTTTTTGTCACTGAATTTGGTGGACTCTTGTTTTTAATTTTTAATCCTTAGCTATAGAGAAGTTGAACATTTTATACATTTGTAACGACTAAATAATTTGTAAATTTTCAATTTGATAAATTTTGTCGACATTTCAAATTTTTGAAATTCTTATAAAAAACCGTACCTATATATTTTCAATATTGTTCAATTGATGTTTTAATAATATAATATCAGTAGCGGAGGAGCGTTATATTTTAAAGCTTTTTGACCCAATGATTACAATTTTATTTACATTTAAACTTTAAAGATAAAAAAACTAATAAAATTGAAAATGTATAATGGCTGTAAACCGCTCAGCTTTTTTTTTAATTTCCACTAACAACAACTTATGTGGAATTCCACGTTTAGAGTGTATTACATTTCCAAGTTTTTTAACCCAGCATAAAATATTTTATGAACAATAATTTGAAAAAAACTAATAAAATTTGGAATTTTCTTATACAAATAGAATATAAATAGCTCAAAAAGAGTCTCCCTACTTCAAAAATGTTATGGTGCATAGAAATTGGTAATATAAACATTTCATGTATCTACCGTAACTTTTGTTTGTTTTTCCAGGCGCTTTTGTAAACTACTTATAATTTTAAATTTCGACCTTCACAATACACCAACCTATAGATTCAGTTTCCTACCGGAAAAGATACTGAAATTGAAAAGTATTATTTCGGTTACTTTTCGTGTACACGGCCAAAAAAAAAAAACCTCTCAAAATCTATAATAAAAAGAACATATTTTCAAAGACATTAATAGTTTTTGAAATAAATACCGTCATACGTTAAATGGATTTATTAAATTGTGCAACTGACAAACACAGAAATAAACTACCAATCTTCCCGCTGTCATGGGATGATCTTTGTGCATATTTAGTTATATTTAGCACATGATGTACCTAAACAGAACTTCAATTTTCACTGTTAATCAATTAATATCCATAGTTAAAGTCTAAAGAGTTGCCTTTATTTACAGATCCTTAGAATCCATATTATATTCCTATGTCCCCTAAATTCGTGGACTGATCTTAAAACACCCTGAATTCAATACCTAATCGGAACCAGTCATTTATAGTTTTATAAATACCAATTACACTTCCTTGACTGATAATTATTTTGGACGCATTGCAGATGTCTCTGTTTACAGTAAGTACCAGGTACCTATCGCCTATCGGCTATCTGTTGTCTTATATTTAATTAAAAACAATTGCCTTATATTATTATGTGGAGGTATACACTGTGGTAAGTTTACATATTATCAGGCCATCAGGGACATCATTTTTCGAGGCAACTGCAAACACATATATCTACAGTTAATAAAAAATAGTTAACCAAAATATAGGTCATCTTGTAAAATAAGTACTTTCAGATTGGAAAATTACTATTAAACACTACGAATGTATAATGCAAAAATATAGTTCAAATGTTTTCAATCAAAAGTAATTAAGCAAAAGGTAAATCAGAAAATAATTTAAGACAGTTATTATTAGTAGGTAGGTACCTAAAAAAATCAATAAATGTTTCTACAAAAGAAAAGAATTAAAATTTAAAAAATGATAACTTTTATCATACCAATTACTAAAACCATAAAAGTATTAGAATTTGTGTTAGAAAAGTATCTACAAATCGTAATAACTAATATATCAAAAATAAAGAGCATATTATATTGAAATAAGTGTAGCTGGAATATATTAACTTATATTAATATAATATACAAATACAATAATACAATAATAAAATAATAATGAATTACGAGATTCATTGACATAAAACAATTTAATAGGTACTTAAAAACTAAATATTTTTCATAGAAGTGTGGACAGAGCAATTTTAAATATTGGAAAAATATAGTTAGGTGCCTAATAATAATATATAACTCAAAGCACGATCAAAGACATTATGATACGCATGTGGTATAATTTTTATTATTACCATTAACATCGGTCATCTGTAGTAGGTATGTAATAATAATAACTGTACCTTGTTATGCTTAAATTATGTTTATGATCCTTTAACACTTTATACAATAACTCCCACACATAAAATTAGTTGTATTATATTATTACGGAAGTACAATAATAATTCATAATTAATGCTCAACGATTGGTCTAAATTTTAACACAATGCCGTTTTTCGGTGTAATAAATCCTGACATACTTCTAATGTCGACTGGAATTTCGGTTTTTTCACACGGCAAGACTTCGAATTTCGACAATACATTTGACAGGACCAATTTCATTTCTGATTCGGCAAACCGTTTGCCTATATAATATGATATATAAATTGCAAATTCGATTGATGGATAAATTACACATACATTTACAAATTCATTATTGACCGAAAAGTGATATTATAATAATATTACCTATGCACAGACGAGGTCCGTCACCAAACGGCATGTAAGTGCCATTTGGTCGTTGAGATTTTTGTTCCGTAGAAAATCTTTCCGGATCAAATCTCAAGGGATCGGGATAATATTTTGGATCACGATGTATGCTGAACATAGGTATAATGAGTTTTTGTCCTTTTTCAATGACAAATGATTCGTCAGGTAGAGTGTATGTTTTTGTAGCCACTCTCATTAAGCTAAAAGCAATGGAGTACTTGCGAGCGGTCTCTGAAACACGACGAACGACCAATATTGAAATATACGATGCGTTACGTAATATTAATTGCTTACAAAAATACATTTTAACCTATAATCTCATTCTATTTTATTTCGTGAAGTGTATAAAAGATGCAAGTACGTATTATGTCTAGGCATTTTCAAAACATTGAAAACCTATTTGTTTACTTTACTTACTAAAGATCTACTTAAAAATCGCATCAAATGTATAAATAATAGAAAGCTTTAAGCGTGGAAACATTAATTCAGAAAATAAAATATCTGACAACTGACAAGTCATTATTACAAAATATATGACTCAGGCAATAATAACCTTGGAGCTTAATAAGCTAATAAGTAATATTATATAGAATGAATAATAAATAGTATATCAGTATATGTTATGGAATAAACAAGCTTGATCATTTTCACATTTTTCCTTTAATATACCTAACGCGTTTATTCAAATTCTGATTTTCGGAATTTTAAGTATTTTTAGTGTAAAGGCCATATTTTTAAATATTTAAATGTGTGGTACCTTATTAGGTATTGTCTCGTGATGATAAAAATTTCTATTTTTCAAATGATAATATACAAATAGGTGGAAAAAATGAAAAATTTGGGAGGGGTAGGATTGTTTATTTATGGTTTTTAATTTTTTTTTTCATGCTGGTTGAATCATGTTTACTATCGTTCATCTCTAAGCACCAAGGTTGTCATTGCCTGCGTCGTATATGATTTGTTAAATATTTTATTTTTCCTAATGTTTCTGCGCATGTTTGAAAAAAACATCATTTGTTTCGTCGCAGTGTACAGAGTACACTCTTTATATAGCACAACAAATTAAGTACTAAAAATATGAATTTTATGTAACTATTAGAGACAATTAAGGGTAGGAAAAATAGAACGAGCATGATTCAACCCTATATATTATATAACTCTTGCATTTTGTCGTACCTACCTTCCAAAACCATGTTGGTGTAATAGAGGTCCATCAAATAATCGTTATTTAACTGCCCGTTGTGTTTTGCTTTCATTGAACATATTTCCGATCGTAACCTTTCTTGGATTTCTATATTCAGCGCCAATTCGTACAGGCAAAAAGATAGCATTGAAGATATGGTTTCAGAACCAGCAGTGAACATGAGAATAGCGTTGCCGATGATATCTGCGTCGGTGAATTTATCTGGAAATAAGATATAAAATAAAACCTACATTATCACGACTATTATTATTATTATTATTGTATAACTACAGAATGCCTGTTGATCGCCATAACATATAAATTAATGATATAACGGAGACGTCATTGATGTGTGTAATATAAACAGAACGGAAGTGCGTGTTGCTAGTTCGTACTTGTATAGGTTCTATGTTACATTGTTACTGTATGTTTTGAAACTTATATTTTATTTTGCGTAATTTACACATTTTCCTGATATATACTTTTATAACAAAGTATTTATATTGTATTTTGAATATTTATATATTATTCAATAGGTATACATTTTTATTTTTGGGTGTTTAATTTTGTTTTATTTTTTTTGTCGATTTTCATGCATCATAATTTTAAATTTCAGTAGCACATATAAATAAAAATAAAAATTATATTCTTATAAATTATGTACTGTCGAAAATATTAACTTTAATATTATTCTAGTATTAGTATTGTAAACAATGATGGCAAATAATTTTGTACAAACTACTAAAGTGAAACAACGATTAAAAAAAAAAGAAAGAAAATAGAATATTTATTTTATTATAATTGGGGAAATACTGAAATCTGCTGAAATTTTTTTTGTGTATAATAATAAAAGATGTTTCTTTTAAATTTCACAAGTATTTAAGTATTATCTACCTATATTTAAATACATTTTCAAAGAATTATTTGTATGCAATCTATCACTAAGTTTAGATTAGTTGTTTAAAAGACCATAAAATATTTCAATTTATTTTGTAAATTTATAATAAATTTTGTATTTACCTAATTATAAATTATATTTTTTCTACGTAATTTAACAGAAAATCATTTAGCTATAGCCTAGATATGTGAATCATATTTTAAAAGTATAGGATTTCATACTTAATTTTGTACCGACAAAAAAAAGTATAACATTTTTAGATTTTCTTACTAAATACCTACTACACATATCATTAATTTATTCCTTAGCTACAACAATAATACCTTCAACACTTGAGTTTTTCTTCAACACTAACTCTTTACGTGCCTGCATCAGGGTCTGCGTCAAATCGTTCCGGATTACGTTGTGCTCTTCGCGATATTTGAAGACATCGGTAAAAACATTATGGAAAAAATTGGTCGCCTCTACCGAAAACATTTTGATTTTTAACACCTTGATGACCCAGGGGCAGATCATCAGCAACACCTGGACGATCATCTGTCTCGGAGTGCTCTGGAACATTATTTTGACGTACCGTCGGAAGTCAGAATCGTCGTTCTTGATCGTGTCCAGCTTCATGCCGAATGCGCACGTGCCTATCACATCTGTTGAAAAACCACCAGTCATCGTTTTCACGTCGATTTGGTCGGTCTTCTTCTTGATCGTTTCGACAATTCCAGACACCATCTCGTCACTGCACTCGTTGATCTGGCCGTGCGTGTCCTTCAGCTTGCCGGACGTGAAGCCCGGACTCAGCTTCTGGCGCATCGTCCTCCATTTCTGGCCCTTGGCGAAGAACAGACTATTGGCCAGCACAGATGTGGACGGGTCCAAGTCAATACCGTGGTCGGTGAAGTGCGAGAAGTCCTTAACCAGTATCGCGTTGATCAGTTCCGGGTCGCGGACCAACAGCATCGGATCCCTCATCTGATAGAACCCGAACAATTTGACGTCTGGAAAACTGTTGTAGAACCTTTCGAACATGTCAATCGGATGTTCGAGTCTCATCATCATTCTGGTCGTGTTGCCAAACAGTGGTACCGGCGGTAAGTACGGAATGTTCAATATCCGCCATTTACCGTACGTCGAAGTAGAATAATAGTAGAAGCTCGCGAAAACAGCGATAAGACTCAGACAGGTGATGTTGTCATGCAACCAGTCAGTCATAAGCGATATCATGATGGACTTATTTAACGGCTGCAGTTGTAGATACTAACGTTTATTGAAAAAAAAAAAACGACAATCCCGTGAAAGATCTAACGAGTACTGCATTGTGATATATGTATAATAATATGTTATGCGTGTTTGTATTGCGAGTTATTTTTTTTGTATTCCATCTCTTTTGCGATTATTCATTCCGTTTTGTCGATGCATTGAGAGGAAGGGATTCGTTGATGATTACAAAATATGTGAACAAGGTCATATATGTTTGACCGATACGGCTTGTGAGCACTGAACGCATAAATACACTTAATTTACCACGTTTATTGATGTGTTTTTCAGAACACGCCACACGGTGATTTAAATAATATAATTATATATTATTATTATTATTGCTTTAAGTAATTTTTTTTCTATTAGTTCTAAGGTGGGTACACTTTAAATTGATTGTAGAAAAATGCAAATTGCATATCATTATTCATTACTGCCTGTTATTAATTGTGTCGTTTCACCATTGCAGTATTGAGTATATTAGATGTTTAGAATTTAGATATATTAGATTATTGATAGCAGGCGCCTAAACCTCTGACTATCTTACACTCTAAGCTGATGACTACCTACAACCCATAACTAAATTTGACTAACTTTGTTAACTTGTGTTGAGGTACGATGGTAAACGTTTACTGTTTTACTGTTGTTCCTATTATTTAAAATTTAAATAATGCAAGCCGATATGAGCAAAAAACATACGCGTTCTGTACGGTTTTATTAATTTTTTTTTCAAAATCCTGTAATTTTATACCTATAATGGCTAATTTTTGATTGATTCAGTGCCTCATATTTACGTAAGTAACAAAATTCATAGGTGTAGTTAACTTTTATGTTTTAAGGATAAAAGACCAATAGTATAATGGGTTCATAAGATATGCAGCTATGGTGATTTGAAAATTGTATACATTAATAATATGAATAATTTGTAAAAATGGACAAGTACAAATAAATAATAAATACTAGATCCATTATTAGAACGTATATTTTATATTTCTGCAAAACTATTTTTGAGGACTATTTAATCCATGCTACAAACATTTTAATAACTAAAAACTACTCATTCGAATTTTGAAATTTCTAAAAATTATTCACTAAATAATTTACAGTAAAACTGGTGGGTTCTCATTTGAAATATAGAAGTTTGTAGTTTTGTACACAAGACATTCCTTAAATACCTATTCCAAAAATCATAATTTGAATAAAATAATTATTAAAGAAAAAATAGGGGTGAGCTGGTAAGCATGCTTGGTGGATCACCCTGTATAAACTAAAGATTAAACAATATGTTGTTATAAGATCAAACTATTATACCATTTTTATTCTTCAATTTAAACATTTATTTTAACTAGCTATCCTGCAAGCGGCAAGCGCTTCCCGTTCCAAACATTTAAACGGTAGTTGTAGTGATCGAAGTGGGGTGGGGGGATACGGTTCGATGACATCCCTCCATTTTTTATAATTTACATTTTCCATCCCTCTAGTTTTTTTGTCAAAAATAATGTACCGGCATCGTCGGGGCCCCCTGACTGCAGTGCGGCAACAATCGCAGAGGCAGCCGGAGCAATGCCCCTGTAGAGGGCCGGTAATCGTTAGCTCAGGGGCCCCGACGGCGACTTGCATCTATTTTTTTTTAGGTTCAACCCCTCTCCCCCCACCCATTAACACTTTACAAACATAATATTTGTACTTACAATATAACTATAAATTATAATAATTTATTGGGAACAAATCTAGCTTAGCACAAACACGAATTTTTCACCTTTTTTTTGTTGGTAGGTATCCTATGTATATTATAAGTTACAACGAATTAAGAACGATATTGCGGAAATCATTAGTTTTTATTTGAAAACGACGGGGAAATCTGAATTTGGCGGTCAGACTTATTTTAAAGATATATAGCTAATTGAAATTTTTGGTATTTTAATATATATACCCGACGTAGTCACTCGCACGGACAATTAAAAACAAAGACATCCCTCCACTTGTTATGTAAAACCACCATGGGTAAGTGTTAGAATTATTTTAAATTATTTAAAATTTTATTTTTAATTAAAAAAATATTTTAGGGGTTTTAAGAAATTGTCTTCAAATTATCACATTTAAAAATAATTAATTTTATATAATGATATTATTGGTACCTGGGTTTAAGTCTATTTTATAATAGATCAATAGCCAATAGGTTACCTAAATCACATTGTTTTATTTCAATCCTGGTAGTCGAGTTTTAGACAAGTACCTACATGGGTAATTTATAATAATTCCTATTGTAATTTAATTATAGGTGCCAAAAAAGTATAACTTCTCAAACACTGTGCCTAGAGGAACTGGCAGGATAATGCATTCGAATAATAGAATGTCTATAAACTTGCGGACCAGTTTTGCATAGTTAAATTTGGCATGTGAACTATAACTGAAATAGAAAACCAGAATAGGTACATTGCTGATCATAAAGATTCTGTAATAGTACATACAATTTATCAATAGACTGTATAGATATTAGATACTGAGTAGTGAGTATAATATATAAGTTCTATGGATTTATCATAGTAAATAATATCTGTGGCAATCGTCAATTGTCGACATTCGTCGGCGACGGTTAACAATTCTAATAATTTCAGTGAACAAAAAAATAATGAGCCATCAATATTCAATATAGACGGACAGTTCGTTTAGCCGTATATATTATAATGTTAGTTTTAGCACAAACTCGCACATTTCGTTATGATCAGGTTATTTTCATAAAATATTTCGATACTTTCAAGTTTCAGTTTGGAGCGAGATGATGATGGATGAATATAGCCGTTTCTTCGGCGACGGCGGCACTCTATAGCTAGGTTTCACCGGAAGAGTCGATGTTTCCGCGTAAGTTTGTTTTCATACTATTACTATTTTACATTTACTTTAAGACTTAAATTAAATATTTATTGCCACCGACAATCTGTTAACTGGGTGAAGTAGAAGCATTTATAAGTTTAATCCTAAAAGCGCAGTGTGTAAAATACGCGAGACCGAACAGTCCAATGTCCAAAGGCCGTCTTCGTTTCACCACGCCAAGTTTAATACGTATCTTTATGCATATACCATACGCCGGGTATCACCTAAGGTTTGCGCGAAGTATTTGAAACAATATACTTAATGTTATCAATCTTAATATTGTATATTATACATAAATGCATTATAAACCTCATGTATTTTATAAGCATACTTACAAATTTTTTAGTGTAGTTTATACCCTAGATGGAGGTATTAAATGTTTTGCAATTATATATTTTACTATAATTATTTTTTTGCCATTATAATATATTATATAATATAACAATACACTAAAATTAAATTACCTAGTTGTTATCAAGGCAGACAGTCTTGAAACAAACTCGTTTCTGGACGTTTTCAAAACGGATCATGCTTAAATCAGTTGCACAGTCGTCGTAGTAGTCAATTTTTAAATCAACCCGTGTGACATAAAATAGAAATTATTCTTGTTTTTTTAAATAATTTTTTCGAAAAATATACGTAATATGCACAGCTCATACAATTAAGAATTTATAGTTAATAGAAATGCGGATGCCCTTACTTAATAGATATTTTTTCTTATTGAAATCTTGTAAATAATTTAATTAAACAATCGGGTACCCATCACTAGTATCAATTGTATTATATTACGTATCACCAGCACAAGGTGCAGACTGCATCATAAAAATTTAAAAAAAAATTAAATATAAAATAATGTTGTAGTAGAAGCTGGGGAAACTGTAGGTTATTCTAATTTATAATCCAATAATTAATGTAACCGGAAATGTAACTATTAAATTCATCATTGAATGATTATTCAGAGGTCAATTTGAGATAAATGCAAAACGTATAAATGTAAATTAAATTAAGAATAATTAAAAAACATTTTGTGAAAGGAACAAGATTACTGCTAATATTTAAGTCTTAACTCTTAATTATTATTAACAAATAAATACAAACGATAGATATTTTAATAGCTTTTTACTATTAACATTCAGTGTAAATAGTTTCTGATCGACTTATATGTAAGTACCTTCTATAAAATAATTATTCATATACAAAAAAATTATAACAATTTAATGCAAGGATTCTCATAAATTGATCTTACAGCAGAATTAAAACACCAAAAATACATTTGTACATCATTTATACACTACACCTACCAAATAAAAATTTTCCAACATTTTAGTTCCCTATTATGGTGTAGGGGTAGGTACTAATACAAACAATAAATTATTATTCGAAAACACAATTTCGTATACCTATATTATTATTTACTAAATACCTACAACTAAACTAAAAATAAACATATGATTACATTCTAAGTGCCTATAATATAATATTATATATGAAAATTGAATCTTTATTACGAATAGGTACTTATCGTTTACACAGTAAAAAATAATTTAAAAAATTAAAAAATTAAAGAAAACATCATTGTAAAATTAAGACAGTCATCGATCCGCTCAGAATCTAAAATCTAAAATATACCCGATAAATTTAAAATTAACATATTAAATCATTATTATAAATTTCGTACCTACTTAGCAGTATTCGGAGAAAATTATAGACTTGGAATTTTACCATCTAGTTGGTATTATAGTCTGTAGGTACTGTAAATTTACTGAGAACCTTTATGTTAACTCTAAAATCCAGTAGGTAATCACATTTTTATTTAATGATTCATAAAATACAATATGATAAGATACAATAAGATTATACACATGGACGTAAATAGGGTCCTAAAATGCATAGGGCTTGAGCCCAAAGGTTTCAAGAACAAAAAAATTGGGAAATTTGACTTCCGCCCACTACTTATCTACACACAGTTTTATCTATGATGCTGATACAATTCAAAACGATCACAAATTAAATGTAAAATAATTTTTTGAATTATTGTAAAAAATCAATGAGTTTTAATACTATACATAATTAAATAATTAATTTCATTATAA